GAGAACAATTATCGAATCCTGAAAGAGAGGATGTGACAAGTGGGTGTGGCAGGAGGGGTCTGATTATCTATTCAAAAGCTTTGTAATTAAACAAAATTGAAGGCTATAAAAATTATGGTTTGTTTGAGCAATAACGATTTTATAAAAAATATTTTTTTTAAATATTACCTTGTAGAATTAAGAACTTAAAACTTGTATACATTAAAATATGGATTATTAGCTAATATTTTATGCTATTCTAATTGGTATAACATAAAGAAAAAGTAGTTTAATAAAAGTTTGAATGTAAGACACTAAAACCATGTGTCAGGCGCAATAAAGGTACCCAGGGTAATAGGGTTAAACAAACTAATTGATTGGGGAACTCATGCAACTGTGTCCTGCAGGTTGTTTCCTGGGAGATCTCATTTTGAAAAGGAGCTGTACCAGTAGATATAACTGCAATCAAGGATGTGCTCCCCTTTTCTCCCCATTGTATTGAGACATAATTTCACTATGGGCAAAGAGTATACCTGGTTCAGATAGGGTGTGGTGTGCCATAAGTGTGTTCCTCCACCAGGTCAGTGTGGGATTCTAGCTATTATGTGAGAAGAGATAATATATTGTATTGGAAGTTAATATTTTCTTACACTGAAAATATATTTCCGATACATACTTACCTCTACTTACACTTCCCACCCTTCCTTTCCACTTCTGGTGCTTCTTCTCTGCCTAATCTCGAGGTGAAGGTTGGGTTCTATAGAAAAGAGGAGCCAGCTGCGACAGGAGTGTGTCACTCTCCAATTGGTGGAGGGTTGTTGCATGCTTAATTGCATGCTACAACACAGCTGAACCACATTGAAATGTAGGGTAGATGGGAGTTTCAAGGCTAATGTCAAGTAAAAAAAATGTGTGCATATAGGGGGCAGGACTGAATAAGAAGAGCTGTTATGTGAAAAGAGGTAAGTATCCTTTGGAAATACATGTTCAGTGTAGGAAAATATGAACATTACATATAGTAGTTTAGAATTACTTTGTACTTGTACTTGTAGATAAACCATATAGCATAGTATTCTATTTGTATCTTAACTTTAATTATTGTACATATACAGAGAGGATTTTGAAGTAGGTGTGTTATGTTGCAAATGGCAAGGAATATATCAAAACTACATTTTGACATTATTTGAAATTTGGTACATAGCATAATGCCACTGAAAATTGATCACTGTTACAAAAGGTATGTAACAGCTCTTCCTGACAGAATATATTCATACACTCAGATCATAAAGATATTTCTGACCAGAGATTTATAATCCAAGATGTCCTTTGCACTTAATGGCATTGGAAAACAAGGGAATATGAATGAACTTGGGATACCAGGACTGTCAAGGAAGACACTTACAACAAATTTTGCTACTGCTGTGGTAAGCAAAGTGTGCCATTTTGTAACAGGTCTGAATCCTGAAATTCCAAAGTTGGCAAAAACCATCCACAAGCCCTAGGCAATAGTGTGCAACATAAAAAAAGAAATATGTCTAAAAAGAAAAAACAAACAAATCACTTGTACACAAATTGATTCCATGAAATATCTATCCAATAAGTTAGAAAAATATGAATAAGTTAGGAGAGCAAGACATTTATGCTCAAGCCCACAACTTATCACATCTATATCACCTTTTACTGCTTGCAGACATTTGTGAGAAGATGAGTGTTTCCTAAAGAAATATAAAAGAAAAGAAAAACGAAAATAAGGTGGTAGGACCTTATTGTATGTGGAAGTTTAAAAGGATTTTGAGCTTTTAATGTCATTCAAGATAAATATGAAGTTTCTGAAGTTGTTTAATGTTATTGTTGTTTTTTTATTTTTAATTTCACATCATAACATTAGGGGTTTTCTGTGGAAGGACAAGAAAACATCCAGGAAATCTTATCAAAACGACTTTACCTTTGCCAGTTTCTCTGTGCCTTGTCTGTTCTTCGAACTGGTAGGTATCTGTTCTTCAAATTTGTAAATTTCACTATTAGTTTTGAATATTTTGTCTCTGTGTGTATAACATATTTTAGCTTAATGTGTTTTTTGTATGAAAATTATATGCTTTAATCACTTCCTTTTAATTATATTGAGATTTGAACAGGTCAGTGATGATATGAACATTGTGTTAAAAAAAAAAAGTGCATTGAAATAATTTTCTTAGAATACAATTTTACATTTAATGTAATGTGTTGACCTTATATTTTATAATGGTATATTTATTTGTAATTTTAGTTAAAAAAAAGTTTTGCATACTTGTAATGGCATATGGGGTGATGATTGGAATGATCTAAAAAATACAATACAATACAATTCTCAGAATACAATTTTACATTTAATGTAATGTGTTGACCTTATATTTTATAATGGTATATTTATTTGTAATTTTAGTTTTGCATACTTGTAATGGCATATGGGGTGATGATTGGAATGATCTAAAAAACTAAAAAAATACAAACATTTTATATTTTCATACCAAACTCAATATGTTTTTTACAAAACTTGGTTTCAGATAAACACAATTTTGGAATTATGTCTCACATTTCTTTGCCAGTACATTTCAACAATACAGGTATCCCAATATTAATTTTTTTGAAATGCTAAAATTTCATGCCTTTTTATATTTGTTGAATAGAAGAAGCTCTCATAAAGTAAACCCCCACTCCTACCAGAAAGAGTCAATTGTAAGCACCAATTGCACCTGCAAATCATGACATTTCAATTGAAATGTAACAACTGAATTAAGTCCCTTAAGCTGTGTAAGTCACAAGCCAGAGGAATGGCCATAGAAAATATGATTCGATATGTAAATTGCTATAGGTCCTGAAAAAAAACCTCTGTGCACGTAAAGAAAATATTCTTGATTCTTTTCCATTTTTAAAGACTTTTATTATAAATAGATAGATATTTAACCCAAAATGTACAGAAGCATAAAATTAATGTTATTTCTTTCATATACACAGCGTGGTCACAAGTAAATAGACACCACCTTTTCAGAAAAAATGAAATTT